AATATCTGTCAGTGCGGTGTCTCATGGATATTACCGATTCTCAGTAATTTTTAACGGAAAAATCACCGGTAATTTACATTTTCACACTGCTGAAAAAAAATTGATAATTTGGTAATGAATCGTGTGCGATATTTCACGTCCAAGTTAAAATTCCGGTTGATATCGATTTTCTTGAACAGGAATTTCCTTAGCAAGAATTTTAAAATCACAAAAATAAATATCGAGAATTGAATTATGATAAATTATCGATTGATTAAATAATCGAACTGGACTTTTCTGATTTCTAATTGGCACATGTATTGTGCATTTTTTTAATGAATCAGGATCATTAAAAGATCTAGTTATCGGATTGAACTGCTCGAATTACATTCGCTTACCGTGAATTCAGTAATCTGAAGCAATAAACGATCAATTATTCCCTAAAACCTTTGAATTATCAAGTGATGATCCGAGATCGTCTCGATAAACGTTAACGAATTTAATTTGTCGCCTAAATTGTGAATAAAGATTTATTTGTTCACAACAACTTGTCAACATTTAACAAATATTGTTAATCCGAAAATTCCGTCCGCTATAGTCGATCGGGATAATTTCGAGGTTTCAGATCCGGAAGCGTTTCAATCGGTTTATTTAACTCGCGAAATGTTTCATGAGTCAGATCAGTGTAATTTTATTATCCCTCATTTGTTACAGGAATCGAACAATTAGAAACTCCATCGGGAATTCAAAATAATCTTCCGCTGCGGACACATTAAAATGAATAATCTTTTCACTGGTCACCTCGAATTTCGATTGAATAAATTATTTACAGACAGGAAATTATTAATTCAATTATTTTTATGCAAGAAGGAAATTCACTCGGCACTCAATAAAACATTAATGTTGATTGTACATGATATAATCTAATTTTCACCTAAATTGCATATTTTCCGCTGAATTCGATGTCGAATAATCGTTTTATAAAAAATTAATCGGGGGAATAAAAATTCATGGCACTCAAAATGAACAGGAATTAAATGAATTAAGAATTTTTCTCGTTGAAGATTATTTAAAATCCGTCAAATTACTCAACGACAAAATTATTGATTAAATTATTCTCCACTCAACGAACAATTAAAAAATTCGTCAATCTTCCGATTATCGATAAATATTTTAAATAATCAAAAAACTCACCACATCTCACCGTAAAAATTATTGAAAAATCCGAGAAAACTTCTCTCATCCTCAAATCATTCATCAATTACTTAAAAAAATAATAGATTAATAATTAAATAATTACGGATTAATAATTACTGCCGATGAAAAATTGTGATTCTACGACTAACTACCGGAAATCAGGAATGAAAAATATAAAAAATAGAGTGACAGGAAAAATCTTGAGAGAACTTTCTAAACGGACTGTATCAGCCGAGACTTAGATTTAGGGGTTGTCCAGGTCGAAAGGAGGGAGAGAGAGGGTGCGAGGTAACACTCGTTCTCCTGGCAGGGGGATGGAGGGGTTATTTTGGAGAAGGGTTTGGGGGGAGAAATAGTGGCTTGCGGGGGTTGGTTTGCATTTACATAACGTGCCCCCCCTTCCAGCTATTCGACCACCCTAGGAACTAGATGACTAGGCGGGAGGTATTAAGAGGAGAAAAGGGAAGTGGGGTGGTTTTAGAGGTGGTGTGGCAATTCTGGCAACATGGCCGCGACCACCCTCCACCTTCACCCCCGGGATTTTCTATGCTTTTCGGTGGAAACTTGCACAATTTTCACGTTATCATTTTCTACGAGCGCTGAACACTTTCTTTTTTCAAAATTCGTGAACGTCCATGGGTTATTGGATTATTAAGAACTTTTATTGGATTAAAAACGATTTTCCTATGGTTTTAAACTGACCCCGTCGTACTCGCATCTCATTGGCTGGGGAATGGCTATCAACAGTGAAGTTTATCCGTCGATGTGAAAATTTATCGCGAAATATACTCTGAAGAATTCAGTTTATGCCAGTTAATTCGCAAAAATAAAGCCAATGGCAGAAATCGCGGGAGGCAAAAAAAAAGGCTGGGAAAATCGATAGAGATGATTTTATTTTCAGAATTTGATTGATCATTGAATATTTGACTGATACGTCGCACTGTTTCGATAACGTATCAGATTAAACCGGTGTAATCATTTTTTTTTCAGAATGCCAATTAAATACTGGTATGAAAATACACAAATTGATTTAATAATGAAAGATTGAAAGAGAATCTTGAGTAGAATAAAAATGCCTTGCCGTAAAAAAGAGACCGCACCAAAAATTGCATTCAACCCTCAAAAATTGAGAAAACACTTTCAATCCGCTTACGGTGTTTCATTGCGCGTGAAGAAATAAAATAATTCCTCCATTTTCCCACACCTTAATTCTCGTTTTACAACCCTCCTACGTTTATACGATATTAGGGGAATTCCGTTGGCACTTGAGAGTGTTAAAACTAGAATAAAACAGGGAGGGGTGAAGAGAGAAAAAAAAAAGGGGGAAGAATACTGAAGAAAAGGGACTGACGTTAATCAGCGTCGGCGTAACTTTTAGCCACGGTAACTCATCCGATCAAACCCGTGGAAACTTGCGAGAGGCAAACGCGGCTTAGTCCTAATTTAAGGGTGGAAATGAAAACCACCCCTAGCGCCCAGCGCTAATTTAAGACCGACGCTCACCGCTCATTTGTTTCAACCATTTTACCCCACACTTTTGCACTCACACAAGGTAAGCTCAACTCATGACTATTGCAAGGTAACTCGTAACTGTTTCCAACTACAACGGAGATAAAGTGAAGGTTTCAGTATAAGTGCGAGTGTAATTTTTCTTCCTCTATTTTCCTAACGCCTGTACTATTTTTTTCATAACTCACGTGTCACCACCGATGTCCATTTGTTAATCACTAATTATCATTAATTTCCAGATTTTTATTCAGTAAATTCAGTAAAATAATCTGAAAAAATTGGTGTAATGTCGGGTAATTGAAATTCGTCGGCGAAATAATTGAAAGTACTCGACGATCACATAATCCATCCGTCGACGAATGAAATAACCCGACAAAATTGAAAAATTCACGTCCACCAGTATTTGTCTATTTATACTTAACAGGAAAGGAGCCACGTCACTTTAACATGATTCTGCCAGAGACAAACGGATAATTAATTTTCAAGTAATTGAGTCAATGCCGAGTGTCTGAAACCGTGTGTTAATATCTCATTGAGCCACCAGAATTATTCACAAAAGAGTTCATGTACATTGCCGGTGTACCTTCACGTACATCTGATACCAAAACCGAAACGACATCAATAATCGATTAATTCTCGAAATATTATCGGAGAAATCGCAAGAGCATCAACCGACGCTCATTTTTTATTCACCTGTGGCTATTTTTCTTCTTTTATTATCTCAAACGCGTTTATTGCCTTCACCGACGTTAATCGAGGAAAATGAGGGAGGAAAAAAAAAGAGAATATATCTGGACGACACACTCGACCCCGCAGTCAGATAAATGGATAAAAAGGGAAGAGTGTTTCATCCAAGTCGAGTTCTCGGAGGAGTTCCCGAGGTTTATCGGGTCCTTTCGATTCTCCCCCTTTTTTTTTTTCTTTTATTTTTTCCCACCCTCTCTTCACCAATCCAGTCAACACTGGCACCCGTTTGCGCCCGGTAGATCGCCTCAAGGCGATTTTTCTTCTTTTTATGAGTTTGCTTTTTATCACCACTTTTTTCTCTTTGCTCTCTCTATTATTCACCTACGATCCTCTGCACAACTTCTCCCAACCAATTGCTCCGCACAGACGAACGGGAATTAACGATGAATCATTAAGGGTTCAATTAGCTTTCGTTTTTCTTTCGTTATTTATTTATTTTCAGTTCTTCGAGTTCTTCCGTTCGCCCGGGGTAACCGCTATAAATATTACAGCGTAAATAAATCACATTGGAATAATTAAATTATTGATATTCTGACAGATTAAATATATTGAATATTTTTCTTTCACATTTCAATTTATTTCGAAGGATTCTTTTGGAGATATTCATTCTCTGTTACTCCCCGTTTATTTTTCTTCGCTCTTTTTGGCGATGAATATCGATTTGTTTTACTTACGTAATTAATTTTAATAGTAACTCGATGTTTCTGCTGCGAAGATCGGTAACCGACTGAAAAGGTGAAATACTTCGAGGTACGATGCAACACATGAAAAGGATGAATTATAAAAAAAAAAAACTGGAATGACCGCTGGGGGTCTGGCTAGTCCAGGTGGGGTCCACAGCCACCCGTCATTCTGGTACGAAACTGGACCGAATTGTGAGTCTGCTAGGGGTCCAACATCGGCATTTCGCGAAATTTACATTTTCCGGATATATGAGAATAGATCACTGGTGGAATCCCCCCTGGACCAGTCTAAGAAGAATGAGAGACTGGTTTAGAATGGAGAGGAATAGGAAATGAGAACATACGTTACACAACCGTCTTCAGTTATTTTATTCATCGGCTCGTACAATTTATCCGTTTTCTCTCGGTTTCATTCATGATTATTTTCTCTCAGAATTTCAACCAATAGAATTCTCCCATCCACTTTTTTTATTCAATTCATTATTTATATTGATTAACCATATTGATACGGAATTATACTACTTTCAAGTTTGCAGCATAACGGAGTGAAGGAAACAGAAAAAAAAAAATTACGATTGAAGTAATTTTTCTACTAGATCTGAATTTTGATAAATATACTCTCTTTTTATTACGCCATAAACCGAAGGAAAATATGATAGAGAGAATATTTTTTAGTGAAGCCCACTGGCAGCTATCAATGACTTTTTCATTAATTCCAGGTTTTGCCCGCTTTGCTTAGTATCCGGGGAGGATTTTCAGTGTTATCGTGGTAGTATCTCATATCCGACGATGCACTTGATACTAATAAAAAGGTAGAATTGCAGGATAGTGCGGCTCAGTGGTTATTGGCTGAGAGGGAGGGCGCGGTCACACACCACGAATGGTTCATAAAGCCAGAGGGACTACTGGAGGGAGAAGAGGGTTTGCCTCATCTCCTCCATAAGACAGACAGACGTGAAGAGGATGAGAGGGACGGTTAAAGGTTGGCGTTAATGATGCCCGCATGCCGTGGCTCATTCTAATCTCTTCCTCCCGCTGGGGCTTGGAAAATAAATGGCGAAGAGTCCCCCAACCCGACGTTTCTGTGTGTATGTCGTTCGCTCCAGTGATGTCTCCAGCGAGCATCCACTGTTCTCTGGATGCCATCAACCCCAACGCCATTTTACCAAGACCTATCTCCCCTGGGGTCATCAAGGAGCCGGCACAATCTGAAAATACAAAAGAAATTAGAGTGAAGAAAAATGGTGAAAATGAAAACTGGAATTTACAGGAGGAATATAACACTTGATGAATTTTTTTTTTCTCTTCCAATAATTTCAGCGCTACCTCTTTTCTCTTTTTTTTTTTTATTTCCAATGAAAGAAAAAAATCTCCATTATATTGTTCCGGACAACGCAATCACCCCGAAGAATCTCCAGAGACTCCATTGATACGAAGCTGACCACTCGGTATAATGTACCGCGATACGAAATTGTATTGGCACTTCACAACCAGATAAAAAGGAAACGACATAGTTGAGATATCGGAGTAGAGAGGGTGATGCGACACGAGAAGTCTCTCTTCAGCACTCGTTCCACACCTCGATTCGAATTTTCTCATTGTGCAGTTGGTAAAGTACACGACGAACAAACAAATTTCCCATCCACAACCAACGAAACACGGCATTTCACAGAGCAATAGTTTTGCACTATTGCGATCTCGGTGGGTAAATGGGAAACGAGAGGTTGATAGTTGGATGCTTCTAGCTTGTAACGCAGGATCAGAAGAAGTGAGAGATATATATCGTGTTACCTCTCTCTCTCTCTAACTATCCAGTCACACAACCGATGACCGATGAATAATAAACGACATCGATTAACAACGAAATGGCGCCAAGTGCCCAATGCGAATAATAATTGGCGCGTTGTACAACGATAGCAGTGACAAGAGAAATGTTGGGGAAATTGAATGGATGTTTTCAGTACTCGTGGACATCATTAACTAAACAATTAATAATATCATTTAGAAAATGATGGTGATACCTAGGATTTTATAATTCGGGATGAGAGATGGAGAGGCGATTCGACGTTTTTAAATAGATATTAAAATAAATATTTAACCAAATATTTAAATAAATATTTATAAATCACTCCAAGCTAGTAATCCAAAATTTCCTGACAAGCAATTCTGAAGAGAGTCATGTCACGCGATATACGTCATATGCCCGCGTATTTATCTAAGCAGCATAAAAAAGTCTAGATAGCAACGATCGGTAACTAAGCCACGTTAATTAAAAGTGTTTTGATAACTTTTGAAAGGGGTAAAGCGAGAGAGGCGAGCTTGATGTATAGTTCTTTGATGGTCAAAGTGAGTACATAGAAAAGCCCAGGTACAGGGGACGTTTCCAATTTCCCCACTGGTTTCTACGGTGGATGGTTGAGAAGTTTGAGATGAGTGGAGTGATAAGCCCAGTGAGTGCAAGCGAGAGAAATGAATTTGAGACGCAGTGACTCGGTATGGTACAAAGTTGAGTTGATGGAGATAGGGTTGGGAATAGATGGTATACAGAGGTGAGCGAAAGAAGATGATGGTGATGTTGATGAGAAAAAGAGAGAGAGAGAGATTTAGGTTGAAAATGTATAGAGTGAACCAATCGCACGCTGTGGCTGACAACCGTGCAACAACTATACTGCATTCGAGTACTCACCCCTCACCACCCACTCACCACCCACTCAACCACCTCTTTCTATATCGCACCTGCTCATCCCTCTTTCTGTACCTCTCTCTCTCGTTTTAGTGTACAGTCCGGATGGCTTCCCTCTTTTCCCGGTGCTTCGTCGTTTCCCTCTTTACGTTTCACCTCCTCTCGTTATGGCTTGGGTCTAGCCTGGTTGGTCTACACTGTTCAATCTACCTCGCTCTCTGTGCCCTCTCCCCCTTTCTCGTATACCCTCTCTCCTATACCCCATCCTCCATCCGATTTTGCATTTAAATTTGGGAAATTTGCCGGAGTTGGCAAATGAGCTGCAGGTATGGTGTGTCTAACACTCGCTCTCACAGGGTAGACGACCACCAGAGGTTTATATATGGGGATCTAATGCCGAGGGCTTCACCAGGGAGGATCAATGTATGAGGACAAGTACTCGTTGAAATTCCAGATTTGGAATTTTTGGAAATTTCGGGAATGAAAAAAAAATCAATCGGTTGCGGGTTTATTGATCGGGAAATCGAACGAAGGATTTACTGTGAGAAAAATTATAATAAAGAGAATAGAGAGAATAAAGAGAATAAAAAGAATAAAGGGAATGATGATAATAATAAAATATTGTCATCTTATCATGGCCACCGCTGGTTGAAATTTAAATAGACGTACACCAGCTCTCGCTAATTCCTATTAATTTTCCCAAAAACATTTTTTCCGCAAACCAGAAATCCTTGTTTTTGAGGCAAGTGAATGTTGGGCCTTCTCGGTATTATATCATACCGTGTTTTGTTCAAGGTATTTGGGTTGATTAACGCCCATACTCCATGCAAACATGATAAATTCTACCCCCGTAATTTTGCTACAATGATAATCTGATTCACAGTGAATTTTTTTTCACCAGCTCGGAATAATAATATCAGTATTACACCGAGAAAAAAAATGAATTCTCGCAATCACATTATAACGATGAAAATTTGAGAGAAACCCGCGGGGTAAATAATTCGGATCACATCATACGCCTGTGTGAACCGTATGTGTGGAGTGTAATGAACTCAGTGATGAGTATGTTTGGGTTACATGTGGATTAAATATTCCAGATATGGTCGATCTATCGGATTCCGGGGTATCAAGAGTCTCTTTTTTTTTATTTGAGGGAACTAACTAATGAAACCTTTCGAAATCCTTTCAAAGCATGTACCCTTCAAAGCCAACTACAATTTATTTAATTACCAATAAACTCCAGAGCGGATTAAAATTATTAGAGAAATCCATACAATCAGCCTCATCATCACCAATCATTTCTTCCACCCCTCCTCAACCCCTGATTAAACCCTGACCAAACCCCACCTAAAACCAACACATCAAAAAATTTTGGCAATCCAAAAATCGCTTACTCCCAACCCAAAACCCAAAATGTTGCTCTGAAAAAGGAAAAAATTCGGATTAAACGAGTGAATTCAATTTCCGCTTCCACCCGAAAGGAAAAATTGAAAATTTAATTTTTCTTGATACAAAACAGCCCCCGGTGGACAACAGGTATAAAAATACACTCATCCCAAATAAATACAGGACCCATGCTGTTTCTCTCTCATTTATTTACTCATCTCTTTTTATTTTCATTGGAGTTTTTCGGAAAAAGTTCAAACAAACGCGTAACGCAATCCGACGTAACGGAACACTATGCAAGGAGGGGGTGAGGGGGGAAAAGGGGGAGGGAAATGGGGTGAGGAGGAAGGAGGGGGGGGGGAGGGAAAGGGGATAGGACAGTAGCATTGCAAAGAGAGGAATGAGTTGGCCATGGTGAACCAGAGGGTGTCCTGTTCATTATGCAGCGACGCCACTGCAAACCCCGTAACGCCGTACACCGGAGTCTGCAACGTTGTAGAAGCCTTTCACCCACCACCCACCACCCACTCACCACCCCCTGTGCCGCTATGACGCAAAGTACAATCGGCCGACCTCCGGTTAATGAGTCCCGTTGAACAAAGGGAAAAACCGTCCATTAAATAATGCACGATGAGCCGGTCGCGAGAGAACCCTGGACTAGAGGCACTTCTCTCGTATGCGGGGATGCATATCCGCGAAAATGGGGAATGCACGCAGCGTACCGTGGAGTCTAGGGGTAAAAAATGAGGTGGTGAGTTTTTGAGAAAAAAATAAATAGATAAAAAACGGTCGGACCTGGAATTACCGTGTCGCGGTTTTTTTTTTGTTTTTTTTTTTGAAAATGTTTTCGCGATTTTGGATGATAATGCGATACGTCGAGACGATTCTTGGAAAATAAAATATTCCGTCCAATTATATCTTGATCGAGTTTCAACAGGGGACTAATTACGAGATATAGAAAATTCAATGAATCATTAAATTCAATTTACAACACATCGTCCTAGAGGAATTTCAGGGCAAGCGAAATTGTTTACTATTTTGTAGTAAATCACAATTAGGCACTCGTTTTCAATCACTTCCTCAATAATTCATTAAATTACTTTTACTACGCCATCGAACTCGCGAATGCGTGGAGAAATTTCCAAAAAAATTTTCGAACCAGCATTTTTTTTTTCATTTATTTTCAGATCGAATGCAATATTTATGATTCATCACTTTAAAATCTACATACCACTCGTCAAATACCCGATAAAATAACGGTAATTATTTGACGATCTCAATACTCAGCCGGAGAAATATCTAAAATGGGGAGCCAGAGGCATTTCATCTGAATCTTCATCTAAACTCTCATCTAACTTCCCCTATCGTCGTCTAATCGCGACGATCTAAAATACCCCCTCCCGACTCGAGTCCCCCCAATTTTCTATGAAAGGGTCTAGAGAAGGCGAATGTGGAAGGTGGAAAATAGAATAGGGAGGGAAAATAAATAGGGAGGGGGACATAACGACCGTTTCGAACTGGTGGGGATAAACCGCACACATTCTCGTGTGGAACGTACGAGAGAGACTATCGGACAACCCGGTGGGGTCATACCCAACCCTTAATAAATGCGCCATCAAAATCCTCCGGGGTTCTCGACTTAAAAACGAATTAAGGTGAAAAAATATAACAGTTAAATAAGATAATCGCCCATTCGACGATTAGCTACATCTCGTGACCCTCTTTTTACCTAAACTCCTACGTCCTAGCAACTACAAGCCATATTTATTATTAATTATTCATATCGCGTCTTATTTTTAATAACAGGCAAGATAAAATTCATGCTCGTAATTTTATTCATTGAAAAATAGAACATAAACAGTTCGGATCAATCTGAAATAAATAAACAAAATTGGAGTGAAGTAGAAAATTCAGGTGAGATAAATTATCGGGGAATGGAAAAGAGAAAAATTATTTGGATAATCGATTTCGGGGTCTTCGGGTTTTTCAGTCAGTCTTCCCTTGCACATTGCCAATTACATAATATACATAATATTTTTATTCCTGTTGAGTCACTTGATGTAAATATATCGTCAGTGAAATCCCCTTTCATCGTCGAGAGCAGGACAGGTTTCGACTAGACTAGAGACATCGATTTTT